AGCTCCCGAGATCTCCTAAGGCTTACTGATGAACGGGAAATGGTAATTTTGCACATCGGGATGCAGAGCAGGAGCTGCTTTTAGTCGCTCCAGGCGCCCCGTTAATTAAATCAGCGGGCTCCGCAGGGGCTCCCTCCAGCGCTGCCGTGCGCTGATGGGCACCGCGAGGCGACGGCTGCCTGCCCGAAACCCCGGTGATGAGAGGCAGAGAGGCTGCGGAGAGTCGCTGGGAAGCTGCTTCTAAAATATTTCTTCCCCTAAGCAAGTTTTTAATTGGCTAACTGGGTTTTGGTTTGCTCTGCTTGCTCTAGGATTAACCGCGTGTAACTGAGATGGGGAAAAAAAAGAATTACATGTGCTTTTTTTAATGCATAGCCACGTTTAAAGCAGGTATGATTTGAAACCCATGGTAGTACCTGTTCTTCAAAAGGATGATCTGGCTGGACCAGCACAAGGGCTGTCCTCTTCCTGCAGTGCCTCCTGTTCAGGGCTACTCCCTGTGTTCCAAATATTTGGGGGCGGAGGAGAAAAACAACAACAATAACAACAAAACCCTAAAAAAAAAATGTAGTTGCTGACCACAGCAAGGTGGGATGTGTTGTGGTCATTGAAGACCTGCACAGGAAGATGAGAGATGCAGAGATGACTGTCAAAGCGTGCTATTAGTTCATACGCAACCCTCTCAATTTTAGGCAATTAAAAGGAGAATTTCAGGTAGATCCAATGTACTTATTTCTGTCCTTTTTTGGGGGGGTGAACCTGTGCAAGCTATAGAGGGTGCCCTGATGGGTGGCAGCCAGGCAAGCTGCTCCAACTCAGGATGGGTTTCCTGAAAGCCTTTGCCTAAAAGTGCCAGAGGCTTGTGTGGTGCAGTCAGTCTGGCTGTGAACCGCTGCACAGATTAACACAAACCTAACAAAAAAAAAACAAAAACAACCCACCCTTGCTTCTTCATTATTTCTGTAAATATTCTTTCTGTTTCCATTTACTTCTGTAAATGAAAACTCCTTGTTGCTTTTTGGCTGTGGGTGAGCACTTAAAAGCATGATCAAAACCTGATGGGAATATAAAAAAAAGAAACAAGTATGTTTGGGTTTTTTTTACATCTACCTGCAATCTCAAAAAACCCCCACCCTCTAAAAAAATCAAATAAATCCAGTAACAATCTCAAATACACACATCTATAATAGCATAGTATAAAATATATAGCATAAAATATGTAGTATTTTATACTAAGGGTGGAGGGGCGGAGGTGTCTCGGTGCTGGTCTCCAGCGTCGCTGCCCTTCTCTGTGTTGCAGCACCTACGGGGAGCTGACGAACTGCACGGCGCTCATCGCCGAGAGGCTCGACTGCTACTGGCCCAACCGCCTGGTGGACGAGTTCTTCGTGGCTGTCCACAAGCAGTACTTCAGGAACTGCTCCCCGTCGGGCCGGGCGTTGCACGACCCCCCCAACAGCATCCTCTGCCCCTTCATCATCCTGCCCATCCTCGTCACCCTGCTGATGACCGCGCTGGTGGTGTGGAGGAGCAAACGCAGCGAGGGCATCGTGT